TCTTCTGGAACTTTGGGAGGCTCGGAGTCTTCCAATGAATAGATTAAAGAAAACACACTCACCGCAAGGTGAAGTGTGCCCACTTAGTCCCCGAGCCTAACAGTAGGTGATGTGGTCACGTGGTGCCAGAGTCCAGAAATTAGAAGAAAGACAGAAGACCAGCCAAACAGGCAACCAGTCCATGGGCTGAGCCCTAAAATGAAAAGTGCACATTCACCGCAAGGTGAATTGTGCCCAATTAGTCCTCAGGCCTAACAGTAGGTGAAGTAGTCATGTGGTGCCAGGGTCTAAAGTAGTAGTCTTCAGGTGCTGGCCTAGTCCCCAATGTCACTGGAAACTAGTGTAGAAATAAATACAGTCATCGCGAGATGACATTTACACATGTAGTCCACAAGCCTACTGGAAGATTTTGAAGATATCTTGTAGCAGGGTCAAGGAATTTTTAATGAAAGCTTGCCAACGTCATCTGCCATTTACTTCATAAGACCCTAGATGTGCTACCCAAGATCAGCACCCTGATCCGAATAGCATGGAGCAACTTGATAGCACACCGATAAGACATAGCAAGATCCGACCACCAAGGGAGTCCCCAGCTTAGCTGGAGACGCTTGCACGAAGAATCCAGACATCGAGGAGTCCCTAGCGTAGCTGGTGAGCCCCCAGCATAGCTGACGATGATGCCCATGCGATGAGCAGTCCAACCAACTGGTCAGTGATGAAGTGAACACCGAGCAGGAGTGAGCATCGAGCAATTCGACTAGTTGGTTGGCGGTGAAGTCCGTCTGATAGGAAGTCCGACCACCCAGACGATGATCATCTTGTCCAGTCCCTGAGCGTAAGTTCGTTTACTAAACTGTGCCCCTACGAAACAAATGTGTAGAATGGGTAGTACATGATGTAAAAATAAAATATATGAACTCAATGGTGATGAAATAGCGTATGCAGCTCGGCGATCAGTTGGTGTGAACACTTAGTGTTATTCTGAAGATGTGTTTATATTTAATATAAAACCGCTCGACCAGTTAGTGTGTAGCTGAGTCTCTAGCCCTAGCTAGCCTATTAACCATGACGCGGAGTGCGGAGCCCGTGTGCATGTAGGAAGAGCAGGGCATCGCTAAGGAGCCGCTGCCGACCACCCCTAACGCAGAGGGTAGGCGCTCATGCACGTGTAGGGAGAAGCTAGAGACAGGGCCGTCTCTAGGACATCCGAGCGTCAACATGACTGTTCGGGGATTTGCCTTATGCTTAGCTATATGTCATCTTTAAGATGGCATATATGAAAGAAAATCATTTGGAGAACAAACATGGAGAAAACAGCTAGGAGAAATATCATAGAGATATACGAAGGTTGGGGAATATTTAGAAAAATATTAAAGCATGACTTAACTTTAGACAGAACATCTGGTCGGTGGCGTATGGTGTTATCTGGTCAGCGTGTACAAAATTACCCGGCCCTTGAGCTTTCCAAACTATCATCATGGCGGCGGTCACGGTTGTCATCATTGCGACGTGGTAGGCGATCAGAGCGAGTAGTATGGGTGATGTCGTCCTTATGTTACTGGTCGGTGACATGGATAGCTCGCTTAGCTGCTTGCTTGATGGCTCAGATAGTTCATTTGATAGGTCAGACGGGTACGCGGAGTCATAGGTGAACGGACGTAATTAGAGCCTGATGGAGTCAATCCACATGTGGAGGTGAAGTCCTTGAGCATGTCCAACCGAGGTGAGGGCACAGTCCAAGATCTTCCTTGCATGCCTGAGATACGTGAGGTTGCCAGCATCTTTGGTGGAAACACTGCTCCACATCGCGTTATCGCCGACCGCCTTTCCTTATTGCTGGTTGTCGTGATCCACGGAAATGATCTTGCGTATCCGATCAGAAATCATGAGCAACAACAAGATGTGATTAGGTTTCTCCCAACTGAATCATGTAGACATACGGATATATCTAGAAGTATAATAACAATATTTAATTAGGAAAAGACTTGACTTAGCTTTCTTAGATTGCTTGACTCCAATCTTATTGTCGAGTGTTGCGTCTATTGGAGGCGCATGGTTGGCGTTTCTGTTGACGTGAGCTACGCAATCCTCATTGGTTTCTCCATCCCATGGAGGGCTATCGAAGCTGGCATTAAAAATCCCGCCTCCATGAAAGGGTGGAAAAGGAGGTTGGACGGCAGTGATTTCGGCGACAATCTCCGTAGAGCCCTGGGACTCAGAGTATGGATTTTCCTCCAGGATGGTGTGGAGGGATTCTTCGGGATGTTGGCCGATTTGCAGCATATTGATAGTCGGCGAGAGCTGGTCGGCGATCGGGTCGGTGAGAGGATGGATGTATCTAAATTGGTCGGTGAATTTGTCCCTTAGGGCATCCTGATGGATGGTGGCCGTAACCCCTGGAGTTTCCCGATCAGCCTCCGATAGATCAGAACCGGAGGATGGTCGGCACTGAACCAGAGTAGTCAGAGCTGATTCTATGAGGGAGAGGCAGTCGATGAGCTTCTGGCCGACCTGATCGATGGATGCGATTAGATTGTCGCTGCCGACCTGCTTCCTCTAGTAGCGGGGCAGCAGGCGGTGAGTTGTTAGTGAAAACAACCTCGGAGGTAGTTCCAATATCGGATCTGCTATTGTAGGTGTTGGTGTGGTTGGCGTAGAATCGATCTGCACCAGCTTGAAGATCTCTCCGTCTCCATCAGCATTGATGACCCAAGAGATCGATCCGACCGTAAAGTTCTGGCCGGGCTTTGGAGAGGACAAAGAGCTTAAAAAGTGTACCATCTTGTTCGTCATGGAAACAGCACATACACCCCTACCTGGCACGCCAATTGTCGATAGAATATCATCGGTAGTCCTCCGAGGGGTATCCCACGAAGGTAGATGATCGGCAGAGGTGCGCGTAATCAAGAACAAGAAGGCAACATAGACACAAGAGTTAGACAGGTTCGGGCTGTCTGCACGATGTAATACCCTACTGCTATAGTTCGTTGGTTTGTATGATATTGCGTGTGTTTTGAGAGGTTCCCCTACCCGCCTTATATAACCAGGGGTAGGGTTACAAGTCGGTTAGATCTAGGAGATAACTGGTAAGTAATAACAGATTACAGGAATCACATGATCGAGCATTTCCTAACAGATCTCGTAGCATCTTCAGGATATCACCCTTGATGTCTTGCGGTACACGTCGAGCAGTAACGTGCACCATAAGTCTTCATCTTGTGGGCTACTATGGGTATCTGAGGTCGTACCCCCACACTATGTGTACTTAAAAGTGTCACTCATGAAGGAAGTGCAGAGATTTGGAGTAAAAAGGAAGCTTGCGCCTAGATATGTAGGGCCATACCAGATTATTGAATGGAAAGGAAATGTCACCTACAAGTTAAAACTTCCTTCAGAGATGAGTGCGATATTTGATGTCTTCCATGTTTCTCAGTTGAAAAGATGCCTTCTTATACCTGAGGAAGCCATTGCACCCACCAACATTAAGATCCAATCAGATTTGACATATGAAGAGAAACCAATCCGAGTGCTAGAAGAAATGGAAACAGTAACATAGAGCAAGGTCATTAAGTTCTACAAGGAGGCACTACACCATGACACACATTTGCCTACACTTATGTGTTGGCAAAAGACAGGTTTGGACGACATATTATGTGTTGGCAATTGTATATCATTTTAATATCTAATCATCTGTCGGCAATAAGACCGTAAGACTACCAATTATCTATCGGTGTTTCTCTGCTGGCAGAAAAAGTGTCGGCAAAAATTAGAAGACTTAGAAAGTGTCGACGTAGCCTATACAGAGCTACTATGCAAGTGTCGGCCAAAGAACCCGCCCTGGGTAAAAATATATCCTCCCCTCCCTCTCTCTCTCTCTCTCTCTCTCCGTCTCTTCCTTTCCCGTAGCGCGCGCTCTCTCCCTCCCCAGCTCTACCGACGCGGCCACGGCAGCGCCACCGCACCTCGGCAGCGCCGGCCCTCGACGCGGCGGCGGCTGCCCTCCTCCTCCTCCTCCTCCTTCTCCACGCCCTCCTCACGCCTCGTGGCCGCGCGGGCCGACGGCGCCCCCCGCCGGGTGTTGCGCCGGTGCGGACGGTGGCCGCCCCGGCCACGGCTGACAGCGCCCCTCCTCGGCGACGCGCCTGGGGCCCGCCGGTGGCTGTCGGCGCGGGTGCCACCCGGCGCTGCCTCCTTCCTCCGATCCGCCTGTGCTATTGTGGTCGACGAAACCCTAGCTGCCTCATCTCAATGACGCTGGATGCATCGCGAGCCACGACCGACGCTAGGCCAGCCGACCAAGCTTGTGCGTGGCCTCGTCATCGCCGGCGGCGGTGGCGCCTTACCTCGCCCGCTGAATCTGGCGGTACGTCACCCTCTTCCTCTCCTCCTCGGTCTCCTAATTCCTCCCCCAGATCCTCTCTCCCTCCACCTTTTCCCCTTTGTACCAGACGCGGTCAGAAAATATGGTTGAACTTCAATCTTAGCCTGTCAAAGACCTGTGGTTTAGGTGAGAGTATAAACGATTTGATGTGTGCCTCTTCCTCGCAAAATATTTGCTATTTTCTGGTGAAGATTTTGTATTTGTATAGATGTAGGACAGAAGTTGAGTTTCAACAACAATCTGGTTGAGTTGACCAATGCACAGACAACATGGACACTTCCAAGCCTCTGCATTCCAATGGGAAAAGTTTTTGCTTTTTACAAATTATAACTAGAGTAATAGAATATAAAGAAAAAATACAAAAAAATATTACATTAGAAATTGGAAATATTGCTCTATGGTCTTATTCTACCAACAGTTACATAACCTGTAGATGTAGTAATGTACCATGCCTAGACTAGGTTGTGCTCTTTTTTTAATCTTTGTACAGTTCAGCTGATTGAGATCTGCTTCGATTTCTGACAGGATGCAGCATCAGTTGCTTCACTTTGTAGTATTTACATATTCTACTGGGAAACAACTGCCGAATACTTCTTGCCTCAGACCGTCTCCAATGGTATCATCTCGGCCCAGAAAGTTCCACTGCTTGCACCAGCAGCGACGAGTCATCCGTCAGGTCAGAGTGGCAGCGGCTGAAGGAGAACTCGGGCACCTTGAATTTGTGTGACTCAGTGTGTTGTGACGCCTCCCACCGCTCTGCAAGCCCATCGCCTTCCAGCATCCTGACCACCTCTGACATTTTGGGCCTGTGACCAGGGAGGAACTGAGTACATAGCAGTGCCACTTGCACCATCTCCTCCAGCTCAATGCGGTCATATTTGCTCCCCAGGCCCTTGTCGACAAGTATGTCCAGCTGCTTCTCTTGGTGCATCTTCTTCACCTGAACAGCATCAATGTCCGTTAGCTCAGGTATGATCATATGCCATGCCTTCTCTATTAAGGGGAATTCCTAACTTTGGGAGGGTACTTATTATTTATTAGTTTACTTGCTAGTAAACTACTCCCTGAACAGCATCAATGTCCCTTTGGGAGTAGCTAGTAAACCTCTAACTAGCTTGTCTATATAATTGGAATTCCTCCCAAGGGTCAGAAACTAGAATGGGGCATTGGCAGGTCAAAGAATAAAAGAACAAGTTATGTAGACCATATTAAACTGATATTGCATTAACTTACCCAGTCTAACATGGCTCCCTTCTGATTTGATGACTTCCCAAACTCCAGTGCCGTCTGACCAGTGATCAGCTCCAGCAGCAGGATTCCAAAACCAAAGACATCTGTTTTCTCAGATGACTGGCCGGTGGAGACCCATAACAATCTTGTTCCATGATTGCTGCACAGATCAGTGGATTCCCTACAATGCTGCAAGAGAATTGTGTGAATATTTTTATTCCTGGTAACTCAAAGTTTGAAGGTAAATATTCTTTGTGACCAATACTGTCTATTACTCTGTCGCAATTCATGCACTATTAGGTTTCATAATGGTTAGCTAGCACTGACAAGCTATTATTGTTTCTTTCTTTCTTTCTGAAAAGCATTTGCACATATAGCTGAGTTCAATCAAAAGGCTTAGATTTGTGCAATCCATAGAAAAAAAAACCATTATTTTCTTGTTAAAATTTCCTGCACATACATTGATTGCAGTCCTCTACTTCATTCCTCTGAAGTTAAAGGCACACATCATCAATGACATACATGTGGTCATGTGGACTTGTTTTTGCTGAACCCGATTGACATGGGATGTTTTCTGCTGTCTTTTGCCCTTGCAATTGGCAAAGAAGTGAACAATATTAGCTTGTTATAAGGCAACATCGTAAGAAACACATACCAATTCATCATAATAAGCATCTACACCTGTTACATCCAATTTTTCAGAAATTAAATGGGCAGATGACACTAGTATCACATCATTGTTGAACAATTGGAGATATATTTGTTTTTGAAAGAAAATACAAGCACATATGAGAGCCTAGGTTTGGGCAGTCCAGTCCGCTATCATGCATTAAACTTAGCATTTTGCTTTATGTAGAAATTTCAGTTATGAAATATATTATATCCCTGTAGCTAACTTTTTGGTTGACATTTGTATAGTAGTGCCCAAAACACCTGTGATGATTTCATTCTAATGCAACGTACTGTGATGATTTTTTTCCTCATGTTTATGCAGGACATCTGGTGTTACATACATTCCTTAATGCTAATGCAAGATGCTGCACGAGTTGAACATGCAGGCTCAAAAATATGAGCTAATCATTCAGGAGCAGGGGCGGGAGCTGGACAAGGAGGCAATTGATATGCTCTGAAAGCTAAAGCTAAAGACACTGTTGGTATCATTTGATATAGCAAGTGTCAATGTTCTATAATAATGCTTTTATTTTAATGAACATACTGCTGGGCTGATTTTAAGTTTAGAGCTGCTAATGATCAGTTAGCACAAGACTATAATAATCCACCCATCGTCCGACATGAATCTTGAGCTCGTTGTAGATGCGGGTTTTGATCCCCTGGAGGATCAGCCCGTTGGCGTGCTCAACTTGGCCACTGGACTCAGGGTGGTAGACCGTAGCCCGGTCCACCCAGATTCGCCAGGCGTCACAGAAGTCTAGCTAGTTCCTTTCTTTCTTTAATGGATGTTTTTATAAACAATGATCACAGTCTCAACCAATATAACAGAGATTTTATTTGATTTCAACCTTGGTTGGGTAACAAATCGTTCTATGCATCTTGTGGTAACTCGTTGTTTTCTTGTTCTTAACTTCCCCAACACTACAATGACAACATGCATTTAAAGAGGTCTGCAACTAGTCTTACCCAATTCTACAGAAAAGACATGCATCCCTTTCAGCTGCATGTGGTCTAAAGCAATTTTTGCAGCTAAATGTAGATTTGCAAATTGCTTTTGTAGTTGATATGCGTGTTCAAATGGTGGAACAGTCCAAAGGTGGTTCTAAGGTGTTGTGTTGACATCAAGGGGCACTCTGAACATTGCAGAGGCAACACGCTAGCAACAAAGTTTCATGATGAAGATGCTTGTAAGGTAGACTTCTGAACTTTAGTTTTGCCGGATGCTTAGAAACATGATAGAATACAACACTATTATTTTGCTAACATCTACAGAAAAGTATTCTTCAGCATATTGGTTATCTTAAATCTGTTATCATGGCACTTCTCGGAGGGTAATTTGCTGTGACATGTTGCCAAGAATTTCAAGGTAGGAGGGTCCAAAGCATCTCTATCTAGCTCAAACTGGTCATAGCTATTGACCTGGAAGGGGATCTGATTGACATTCCAGAAAGGGCTTCTGCAACAGCTTGTGTTTAGCCTCTGATATTTACTTATGGAATAGTATTTCTTCAACCCTTTGTGAACCCGAGTGTTTCAGCTTAGCAAAGCATTGCTACTGACAGCATGTGATCGAACTCCTGCTATTTTGTATATCTGTTGAGACAATTTAATTTTGTAGTAAACTTTAAAGAATTAGTTATGAACTGTGCTGCATAGCCTCCCTGTATCATTGGATACTATGCTGTTCACATTTGAATTGCATGTTTTTGCACTATGAGTTTTAGATTTCTGTATGGAAAATGTTAAATTTGATTGTTTTTATTAATATATTTTGCTTGAAGTATTTCCATAAAGCAGAGATCTATAGTTAATTAGTTTTCTATCTTTAGTGTCTGCTATGTTTCCTCTGGTGGATCGCTTATTGTTTGAGATTCATTCATCCAGGGATAAGAGGGTGAGGCAGCAGCTGAGGAAACAAAGAAGAGCAACCATGTCAAGAGGAAGCTTGAGGAGCGTCAGAAGGGACGTGAGCTTGACGCTCACATTGAAGAGCAATTTGGCAGTGGAAGCTTGCTGGGGTGCATTTCTTCCCATACTACGGACAAAGGTGTGCCGAGCTGATGGGTAAGAAATAATGGACTTCCACCAGACTTTTTTTGTTTTTGTTAGAGCAGCTTATCTGTTTGTGTACCATTTAACTTTTGTAGCTTAAAGCTTAATGTTTGTTTATACTCTTTATGTTACAATCACTGTGAGTCTAGACATTTTAGATATGTTGGCAGCTGTCACAAATTTATCCTTCTAGGCTTCAAGTAGAATGGAAGTTGTCCCCTTATTTTCACTTATATCTTATATTGCAGGCAGCTCCTTACAATACACTTTTCTTTTTTGTATAACAGGTACATTCTTGAGGGTAAAGAGCTTGAGTTCTACATGAAGAAGCTTCAGCACAAGAAGGGCAAGGGCGCTGCAGCTTAGAGCATTCTCATGGATGGTCCTCCGCGGAAATGTGTGGCCTATTAAAATATTACTCTGGCTTTTTTTTGTTAGTCGTCTCAAGTTCAGAACGTCTGTCATGTTTTGCAGACCTGATGAGAACACTGTTTTCCGAAAATGAATCAACTCTATCTAGCTCCTAAGAATTGAGATTTTCCTTCTATATGAATAACAGTGGATTTGTCAAATTATTCAAATTGTATTTATATCTATATCTGCAGTATAGTTTTTGCCGATAGTTTAGTTGTTGAACAGGGCGTGATTCACAAAATACCTTGAAAATGGTTTCGCCAACACACAAACTGTCGGGAAAGGTTCAAACTGTCGGCGTAGGTCTTAACTATCGGCAAAGGGTTAACTGTCGGCAAAGGTTTCAACTGTCGGCATAGGTCCACCATTTGGCAACACAAAAAGTGTCGGCGATTCCTTTAACTGTCGGCAAAAGTTTTGCCCACAGCTTATAGCGCGACTGTTTCTAAACTGTCGGCAAAACCTTCGCGAGAGGTTATCTGTCGGGAAAGGTACCCTTTGTCCACTATAAAAAGTGTCGGCAAAGGTATGTTGTGTTATAGTGAGGTGTGGAATAACCACAGTGAACAAGATGCCACGTGGGAATGGGAGGATTATTTACGTGAGGTTTATCCGGCCTTTTATGAGGAATGGTAGGTCTTTCAAATCTTGGGACGAGATTCCTATAAGGGGGGAGGAGCTGTAACACCCCAGTGTTAAGCATTGCATTTGGCATTTGCATTTCATGAGCACAAGCATCATCTAAGCATTCATGAGCATGAGCATATGAAGTTTCATTTCATTTACCTTGTCTTTATCACATGTGATGTTGCTTATATACTTACATATGCTTGTAATCATGTATGACCAATGTATCAAATGGTTGTGATGTCATGAAAACACCTTAGACACATATAGTATGATAAATGGAACAATGTTTATATTCATGACTTAAGCCAATTTTGCTTCTAAGTGTTGGTTTACTTTGAAATGACATTTTCATGATGCTAGTTTGACTAAAGTTGAACAGTAGTTTAGATAGCTTGCATGTCTATGTGACCTAAATAAAAGTTGTAGTTCTTGTCATGAGTAACACAATTTATTTAAGGGTCATGAGCTAATTCAGTGTCTAACTTAGTCAAATAGGGCTCACAAAACTCAACAAAATGTTGTTTTGAAACTTAGAAAATTTGCCAACTCACAAGCTGATTTTGGTTTCAATGTGCACCACTTTGGAGCATTTTAACTTGTAAACCAGCTCGAATGAGGCCAAACTCATTGAAGCAAAGTTGTAGATCTCCGATAGCTCTACAATTCGTATTAGGGAAGTTTGCGCTGAATCGAGTTCATTTGGGAGTTACATGTACACGAACTTGCTCTGTCAGTCATCTATTGTGGGCCTAAAACCGGCCGGGATAGCGCGACGTTATGTCCGACTAACCATGCCACGTCCACCGCGTGGACACCGTACGCCGGCGTCGGGCCCGCGCATTAGGCCGATGCGAACAACAAAGTGATCCGCGTCCCCGCTCGCTCTCCATGTGCGCTTAGTCTCTCTGCCTCACCTTGTCTTGCTCTCTCACTCGAAGCCGAGCGGAGAAAGCCGCCGTCACCGCCACATGCCTCAGTCGCGCTCACACGCCAACCACACCGCACCATCGTCCAATCCATCTTTCCCATAGCTCCGCTTTGACGTGCTTCACCTCACCGAGTCGCTAGCACTACCATTCGAGCAAGGGTAAGGCCGCATTGCGCGTCGCTATCGCCACCATGGCCACGGAGCGTCGCCGAGCTCCAAGCTCGTTGTGGCCAGCCCAATCCACCGCTCCTCCAATCTCTCTCTCTCTCTCTCTTGATTCATCTTTGTCGTAGTTCCTAGAAGCTATCGCCGTAGCTCGTTGAGCCGCTACTACATCATCGGTGCCTGAACGTGAGCCACACCGCCATGAGCTAAGAGCGCCGCCGCCATGCACATCACCGTGGCCACACCTGTTGGGTCACCGTTCTCTGTCGCAGTTAGGCGTTAGGGTTTAGTCTTAGGACAACGAAGCTCGCGGGGAATACGAATGCACGCTTGCATCACCTTTCCCATTGGGACATCACCGTACCACCGCCATGCTCATGCCACCGTGCCACCATGCCTGTGGCCAAGCTTCACCGCTGCTCCACCGTCGCCCTAACCTAACCCTAGAGCTTTACAAGGACCTGCTGATGTTGTAGCCGCGCTCGCCTGGACATGCCATCACTAGAGACGATGAGTCCGCCACCGCGTGCTGCCGCTGAACCGCCATGGTCGCCGGTGAGGTTGCTCCATTGATCCTCTGAGCAAACTGAGGGTACCTGTAGGTGCGGAATAGTATGGGAACACGAAATAGTATGGGAACACGTTGGTGCCGACCTCGTCGTTGGTGACCTCGCTGTCGGTGAGCTTTTCGCCGGTTAAGCGGTGCTCTGCTCTGTCTCTCTATCACGTGGGGACGAGTTGACCACGAGGCCCAGTCGTCAGTCGTAGCGGGGTGTATACACTGGGTGCACCTAGCTGTAGCGCCCAATTTGAAATTGATTTTCTCTATTATTTTTTCACAGATTTAGTTACAAACTTCAAAAATTCATATCTAGAGCTAGGAGTGTCCAATTAGGGTGAACCAAATTTTGTTGGATTCATCATGAAGTGTGTTATTTGATAAAAATATGAAATCTACTATTTAGGGTATTTTTCTAGGAGTATTAAATTGAGCAAGATAAGTGCTTTTAAAATAGTTTCTATCTTGTAAATTGCATAACTTCAGCTAGGAAGGTGATAAAATTGTGATCCTAATTTTGCTGATCTTGTGTTGACATGCTCTAGCTATGAAAAATATTAAACCTACAGTAAATATACTTGTAATATGGTCTTCATATTTCATCCTAATTAATTGCTAGTTTCTAGTGAAATTAAATGGGGTAAAAATATATAACATATGATCATACAAATTTTTACATAGTATTCTTATGCTAGGAGTATAGTAAGAAAAATATTAAATCTGCTGCTCGACACTTTTCACTATGCTAAACTATTTTTGCTAAAATAAGAATATGTAACTTGTTAGTTTTGTAGAGATGGCTATACTTATCCAAATGGCCTAAAATTTATATAGTAGACTATTAGGGTCATATGTAGGCTACTGTAATTTTGTCAAAATTTATTGAGCACTGAAAATATATATCCTTTAAATCACCTTATTATCTAAGGAATTTAATAAATGAATATAAATAAATTAGTTAGACATAACCATGATGTTTTCTGTGGTGTGTGTGATGCATATAATCTGTTCATATTGTTAGTGAGGCTTAAAAGTATTTGTTTACAGGCAACTAGTTAATTATTGCTTTATAATTCAACTAGATGACTACATGTGTAGTTTCTGTTGTGGTGATGATTCCATGATGATAATGATCCTTTTTGTAAAACTTGTTAATAACAAAGTTGTAGATAACTTACATATATACCTTGTGTTAATTTTTCATAGTTATGAACCTTATGGTTTAAGAATTATAGCTGTTAGAAGTCTACTGCCAGAA